AATCAGTATGGCCTCTATTTTATTTTAAAGTTGCCGTCAAATGACCTTGACAATAGAAAATCGTCTTATCACATTTCATTTTTAAAGTAATCAAAAGGCAATGCCCTCATTATAATTGTGGTGTCCTATTTGATTTTAAAGGTCAACAAGGGCAATGATAGTGACCTTTGAGCATCACATCTACCTATTTTTCAAGGTCATCTCTTGCAACCCCATACGTATAGGCCTATTTATTTTTTGCTTTATCGATTTAGAGAAGCATATGTTCGGCTACGATTGAAAGGGTACTTGTTCGGCGGTTTGGAAATGTTTATACTTCGGTTGGTAAAGTAGTCTCGGTTGCTCTTCACCAAATTCAATGCAATAGCATTAACTTAAACATAATAAACCAGCAGTTAGTAAAGTGGTACTCATTTTCTACAATTTGAGAATTCAAAAAGGTTGAACAGTAAACAGTACAATATTACTACTCAGCTTCGCTAACGCTAGTTCTGCGTTGTATTATATAAAAATTAAAATAAATATAACCCAAATCCTTTGTTTGCATTCGATTCTTATCAATAAATAGAATACAAATCTGTTTCATCAAATCAAAATTATTTCGAATAAAATTACTAATTACCTAAACATAATCCATAAAAATTGAAAAAATTATCGACGTGGTGGGTGGTAAGAATTTTATTAATTTTATTTCTTCTTGGAAAATGGCGCTTCCTTTAGAAATCTTCGGTGGTACAGTTGGCTTCGTGATGAATGCAAATCAAAAATGTCCATAGATATTGCGAGTCTAAGCAAACCGGCTTCAATTTCGCAAAAGTAATACTCGAGTTCGTGATTATACACAGGAATAATAGATCAATCTTTTACTGTGTTGATATTAATTTGATCCAAAGGATTTACTAGTTTTCGTTGCGGGTAAATTCATCGATTAATTGTCTTTAAACTCCTCGCGTATGCGGATGTATACAACATTTTATTTAACGCACAATATGTTATCAAATAACATTACTCAACTTTGCGGAACTAGCCGCTACTGTTAAAGAAATTCCTTGTTTATCACGATGAGTTTCAAGTTTAGTTTATTTAATCTCGTGATTTTTATTTGAAAACCGTTTCCGCGACTCGAAAATGTTCTTTCGTGTAAATTTTATCACTTGTAAATAAAAGGCATTGCTACGAATCAGGAAGTTTCTCCTCGTTCCGTAATCGACTGTAATCCGTCTATTTCGGCACATATACAGAATTGCAGCGAGAATGTTTCTTGCAACCCGACTAAAAACGTCGTCCGCGAAATAATTCTTTAATACACCAATATTTATACGTGATCACCCCTGAAGTTCAACGAAAACCTTTTGTACTGACGCGAAATAAACCAACAACCATAAGTAGTTTTTTCGGCCTTAGTTGCTATAGAGTTGAAAGTTGGTAGGGTGCGTAGGTCAAGAACGAGAACTTCAGTAGCTTTTTATAGTTACTCAACGAAGTTCACTTTGTTTGGCCTACACATCCTACCAACTTTAGGCCCAATAATTATAGCGTACCCACTTACTCGTACTCGTCACTTCTATAAGAATTAAATTACGCGTACCTAGTACGTGAGCGCTCGCGAAAATCACCTTCTACCGCTCTCCCCCAGCTATTTGAATGCCGCCTACAAAAAAAGCCGAAAAGGAACTTATTTCTGAACGCAAATGACCTCGATTGGCGTGCCCTAACAACCAATGAGAACCCGCATTTTGGTTACGTACTCGACTTTAAACACAACGCAACGAAACTTTTAGACCCATTTTCCGCAATATGTTTCCTGTTATCGCATGTTATCGCAAGACATACATTCGTTCACGTTTCCCTATGAAGCGGCATATGAGTAAATTTCCCCGTTTAACGAAATACAAATTCACAACCAAATGTTTTAACCGCCACCTCTTACAAAAGGTACTATATTGCAACGTTTTTACAAGTCAACCTAAAATTTCAGTTGCCCTGCATCAGTTCATGACATGAAATGACATGATTTTCCTAATAAGTCATTTTTCATTTTTATTCAATAAGGAAATTATGCGCCATTTTACTACATTGGAGAATGGATTTTCTCCCATTCATTTTTTAATCAATGAAACTGTCTCTTTTTGCAATTTGGGGCTAAAATATTTTTGCTCCAGAAGAATGCGTTGAAGAGCAAATATTTTAGCCCCAAAGTGCAAAAAGAGACAGTTTCATTGTTTAAAAAATTAATTTAAGAAAGGGTTAATTCCAACACATGTGCAACGTAGTCCTACAATACAGTGCAAAAGAAGATTAAGTATGTAATGGCAAACAAATTTTATTATTTATTTAATTAAAAATACTTCCATGCGAGGAACGACATCACTACTAACACAACACAATCTAGTTACGTTTATTTCTGAGATACAGGATGAAAAAGTTTGTCTTAAAAATTGCTCATTTTAGATATTTTTATGTAGAATCAGTGGTGTAGTCTAAAAAAAATTTTGGGCCACCCCTTCTGAGATTTTACCCAATGTTGGAATTTGTTAAATGCAACACCCTATCTTAACGTCAATTTTGGTTGCATTTTTTCCTGACTACATTGATGTATCACAACATATTTTTTTTTTAATTTTAGCCATGAACCATAAGTAGAAACCTTATTTTTTTTTACGGTTTTTAAATAGTACCTAGGCCGTGGATTCATGGAGATGTTATTTTGCTTATTGTATGAATTGTAACTAAGACAGCCGATACCAAGCAATAAAAATGGCTGATGATAGAAACACGTCATTTCAAATAATGATATAATATACTAATTTAATTAAAAATCAAAAACATATAGGTTGTGATACATCAATGGAATCAGGAAAATGAATGCACAAAATTGACGTTAAGATATACAGGGTGTTGAGTTTCAAAAATACCAACTTTCGGTCGAATTCAAAGATTTTTTACTATGCCACTGGCTTTTACGTAACAATATCTAAAAGCAGTTTTTACCTTTTTTCTATCCGTCATGGGTAGTAAGAGATGATAACATGTCAGAAAGTCAAACTTTTCGTTTTCAGCCCGTACCCCAGGAACAAACGTAGCTAGATTGATGCTGATTGGGGTATTAAATTTTCACAAAAAAGGTGCCACAGGGTTGCGAAAACCTCAAGTCTCTACGATTAAAGACAGCTGAGATACACCTCAGTCTCAACCAAAATAGGATACACGGTACCCTTTGAAAATCAGAAGCATAGTTTGTAAGCAGCGCGGTTGTTACTAATGTAAATATAGGCATTCCACTATGAAATAGTTTTGGAAAATCACGTATACAGCTACTTAACAACGTTCTTGAGGCTAAAATAAGGCTAAAGATAATGTTAGTGTTTCGTTCCATTGTAATTACTATAATAATGAATATATTTCTAATAAACTTTCGCAATTTAGCTCAAAGCGAATCGAATACCTTTATCTACGCGTAGAAAAGCTGCTATTATTCCGTATCAAAGCATTTTCGTGCATAATTAAGCGAGAAGCTGTTGTCAACTAAACTCGCACAAGTTAGGAAATAAGCAAGCTGCGAGAATATTCAAGCGCCTCTGGTTTACTCCCGTAGATAATCTGCATGACGTAGGTACAGATGCTGTGGCTAGAACTTACTTTGTTACCTCCTGAATCAGTTTGTTCAAATTTCTGTGCAACTTAGATTTCAGACAAACAGTGCACTCAGATATACATCAATTCTAAATTAAGCGTATCAAAGACAGTAACTTTTATACAAAGCTTTTTTATACTTTCGATGGTAAAAGACATTCAAGGAAATGACCAATTTTAGTTTTTTTTAAATTTACCTCAAATCTATTCCACATTTTGAATTTCCACAAGCATCTAAAACTGAAAATCATTGTCCATTTAACATTCTCTATCTTTAATAATAAGAAATTTACCCATGCAATCCCACGCGATTTGGGACACACTGTATATTTAGACAACTGACGTCACGAAAAAAGTTTCAAAATCAACGAAAATGTAAGAGCGACAATTATAAATCAGGTGATGGAAACGGTAGAAAGTGTAAGAAAAAGTCTTAATGTGTTATAGAGCAGGCAAACATTGTTAATACAGTCAATTTGTGTCCAAAGGGAAAGTTGAGGAGTAGTTCTGATTTTTTGTATTACGTATGTTTTGTAGGGTGGAGAATCCGAATATGGGGTTTCCTAATTAACGAAAACATTACAAAAATTCCGATGGGGATTTTTGAATTTTTATAAAAAAAATAAGATAATAAAATAAACCGGAACCCCCCAAAAAGTTCCAAAATGTTCATTGCCTCTTGAATTATTTTTTCGGGAGGATAGAACTAATTGCTTTACCCATATTTTTGTGTATTCCCCTTTTAATTTTGTAAACATTTTTTCAATATACTTATTCCAGGATAGGACACATCTAAACGGGGGTGTCAAAAAATTATCTCTGCGAACATTTTGTCATATTCAGGTGGTTTCTGCGTGTTTTGAAAACTAAGGATTTTTCATTACCATGCTAAGAATAAATTAAAAAAAAACAAAGTTCTCGAGGTACCAAATTTCCTCTTTTCAGAAAGTGCCTACCCACAAATCGGGATAAAGCAGTTAATTACATCTTCCTGTTAATAGGCAGAAGAAACGTACTTTTTTGGACTTTTTGGGGTGTAGCTTCCAAAGGAAATAGTTTGGAAAACAAATTTTGTGCCCACACCTACCTTTTTTTTACACAGGTACAAAAAATTACGACCTATTCACTAAATCAATGTCTTTAACAGTAAATTAGAGTTGAGAAATCAAACAGTGCGTAAATTAATCAGTTTTTGACTAGCGTTTGGTCCCCAATGCTTTGTCGTAGAACAAACATGGATAGTGGTGGGTTTTTAATCTTTTTTAATATTGTGTCAGCGATGCGATGAATGGAATCAAAACCACCCCACAGCTTTCCGTGTAAAAATACAACCTGACTGTATTGTTTTGTAATTTTCACCTAGGCAGAATGGGATATAGAGAATGATCAGAGCGAGGCGGGCCTCGCGGCCTCGAAGCAAATGCTGTCATTTGCGATGATAGGCGACATGAACCGTTCTGAGCAGGAGAATTTATACCGCACCTCCAGGAAACTGAGCCTGGTACCGAGCGCGTGCGGTAATCTCTTGGAACGACGCACGTCTACGAGCAGAAACTTCGACGTGAGCAGCTCTCCTCAGCGATTTTCCGAAGACTTAGTCCTCAGCGTGCTTAAAAGTCCGATCAATCATGTTAGTGCGGAGAGTAAGGAGGTTGACATCGGGCCGTCGCCCGGTTCCGAAGACGAGCTGTGCGTTAACACTCCCGAAGAGGACACCAGGTAATACATCTCAATCATGTCGCCGGTGTTGAATTGTAATTTTCTTGGTAAGGTTTAAATCGGGCGGAAGCGACGATGAGTTAACAGAATGCGAGCCTATGGAGAAGTTGCCCTTTCTGCAGAGATTGAGAGGTCATCGCATGCCGAGGTTTGGCGAGGCGCACCACAAGCGCGTCCCTACACCTTTGAAACGAAGGCAGAGATTCCTGAGGAATAATAAGGCTAAGGACGTAATCGCCGCGGAGGACGTTGTCGATGAGGAGGACGTGGAAGACGCCACCGACGCTGGTCCTCGCGGAGTTCCCGATCCGTATTATCCCATTTATTTACCGATCGATCAGGCGTTTAAAACAAAGTATGTGTTCCACCACAAAAAGGGAAAGACTTGTCAGGAACGGACTTACGTTTTTTTAGAACATCCAGGAGGATGGTTGTGTTTCTTCTACCACTTTACAGTGTAAGTACACTCTATTTTTTTATTATCATTGAGTATTTTATCCATCACATGTATATGTAATTGTGTCTTACAGAGGGTTGAAGCGTAAAATAGGTACAAATTTAATTCTTCATGACACGGAAACGGGTAGCTCATTGCGGATTAGTATTTCATGGATTCTTATAATGATAATCCTATGGAAATCTACTGATCTAAAATATTCTCTTCTACTTCCGTAATAAGATTGTAATAATTAGCAATTCAAATTCGTCGTGAGTGTAATGTTACGAGAGGCTCTATCATAACAGATCGTATGTTTGATTTAGTTTGTTGTCCTCTCAAATACAAATTGAGTTGTGAAAGGCAACGTTGGTGTTTAGAACTCGGTTTGTTTAGGAAAGACGTTTGCCTGGATATAATCTCAATTTGTCTATTCAATGCAATGGTTCCGTAGTGACTGTCAACGGTCTGTAATTAATTGTAATAAAAAAGCTACTATTAAAAAAATAAACACTTTGTATTACACGTAACTTCACACTAGAAAAGCATGGAATTAAAATCATAGCGGCGACATTTCCAAATCGGCACTATCAAGACTATCCCTTCAGAAACCAAACGATCGGCGCGGCGCTTAAATTATAAATATATCTTTAAATTTCTATCACGAATTACATAATTTCGTTTCGGATACAACGTAAGCAGTAGTTTCATAATTTTTGACGGCGAAAGTGGTGGGATCATGTATTCCGGTGCGAATGGTAAATCGTTATGGCCATCGTGCAGTTCTATGGGACAATCTAAATCACAATCAACTAACGGGGTAAAAAAAATTGGGTTTGGGGATCAAAACAAGCATTTTTGTCCAAATAAATCGAGAGTCGAACGTGTTTAGTTTGGGAGCCAACCCCCAAAAAGTGGGCTCTTTAATTTTGGTCTCAGCAACCATAAGAGTTGGACAGACTGGTGGCGAATAATAGGTTTTTGAGTATGACTTTTCCGATTTTGCAAATTTTTTTTCAAAATTCGTATCACGAAAGGGCGCGCCCCTAAATGGGGGTGCGAAAAAGATTCTGATTTCGACGAAATTTGGTATCTGGGGGAAAATATGGAAATTCGACAAAAAAAATTCCACTGCAATTCTTGGTCAGTTATACTCATTTGAAGATTGGGCCTTCGGGTCACAAAGTGTCCCCGCCTACTACTGAGTGATCTAATTTGTATTTATTTGAAAATGTGGCAAATAACAAAAAAAAACGATTTAAGACGATTAACTGATCATAAAAAATTCGATAGCTTGATCATGGTATTGAAGTCTGCAAATTCGATTTCAAAAAGATGTAGATTGTGTGTGGCTACGGGTGGTAGGAAAATTCTATTTAAGTAGAGTTCCATTACAATCAATAAACATTATTCCGAATATCATAATGAGAATCGGTGTAGTTTAGATTATATTGCAAATGCGATGGTCCACGATATTGACCTGTAAAGTGGATATGATTTCTAACCTTTTGATTTTCCGTATCAGGATATCGGACAAATCTGACAAGTTTTCGCATTCCAAAAAGTGTTGAAACTGACTCACTTAAAGGAATTATGTTATTTATGAGTCCATTAGCCCACTTTGCAGCGCTATAAAGTTCTGTATAACCCTTTGAATGCAATCATTGGCCGTGTAACACTTAAATGGGAACAAAAAACCATTATAGTATTGAATATAGTGTAGAGTATGTCAGGATTGCATAAAATTGTATTATAAGTAATCTGCAAACCATACCTAACAATACATTCTGCAGTGCTTCTTACAGGCAGTATTAAAGGTTAATTTTGCCTTAAATATGAAGTTGACAGGTTTTTCTTTAGATGAAAGTCGTTACGGGCTATTACACGTCCTTTATCCCAGTGATTTTTACGGCCGATCGACTTAACTTGCTGACTTTTTCCCACCACGCGCTCGATACATGCCCGATCTAACGCATAATTAATTTTTTTCGTATTGCGCTTGCAATCTTTTACGAACCCCTCCGGCTACCTCTCTCGACTTCATCCCCGCTTTTTCGTTTGTTAAAATACGCCTTCAAAATGGATGATAATCGGTTGAACGGCCTTTATTCATTCTACCAATAGCATTAATTTCTTTTAACCAATCCCGACTCCGAACAGGCACCAAAAACTTGAGTTACCGAAAACCTTTGATTAGGCGGTTCACGTCCTGAATAATAGCGGATCCGAATCAGCCCTTTGATCACATACAGTCCATTAGTTTGCTTTTATGATGCGACAGACTGGCGTTATTAACTTTTTTCACGTAGTTAATCGCAGTGTCGTATCCAGAAACGATAGGCCCAAAAAAACAATACACATGAGACTATAATGAGACCAGCCTGTACAGGGTGAGTCAACGATTGCGCGGAGTAATTTAATGCCTTGAAGATAAGATTTTTCGATAAAGTGCTTTTGTATTATGATATGGTTGAATATTCTCCACATTTTAAAAGTATTTGGAATTATACAGGGTGTGTCTACAGAGTAGGGCGCCAAAATGGTACTTTTTTTTAAATAGAACGCCCTGTATTTGAATGCATTTTTGAATTCTACGTGTTAATATCCGAAAAGCTAGTAAAGGACAAATAAATACATCTACTATGAAACATTAAAAATATAGCTTACAGGGTGTTTTTTTGGTAGGTCCAAAGTTGCAAAACTTCATATTAAAAAATCTCACTTTTTTTAAATGAACACCCTGTATATTTTTCTGTCCTATCTCTGATAGTTTTCGAAATATCTTGGTTTTCCTGGGTTTTATATTCTAATCTTAAATAAGTTATATGTAATTTACATAATAGTGAGGTGACCATGCAAAAAAAAAGGTAATCCAAAACTAAAAGGGAAATCATATCGATTAATTTATTTTTCAAACAATTTATTTTAAGTCCAAAAACTGGAGAATAAGTAAAAACATTTGACTACAAAGCAAATTTAATTTAACTCCTAATGTCATCCAGTCAATGATATTAGTTTCATTTTTTTTCATATTCACCTCGTTATTATGTAAATTAGAACTTATTTCAGATTAAAATATAAAAAATAGACAAACCAAGATATTTGTTTATGTTTTTACTATCAAATTTATTCTCCAGTTTTTTGACTTAAATGGATTATTAGAAAAATGAATTAATATGATTTTAGCTTTGAACGAGGCAGATAAAAATTGCCTTTTTTTGCATGGCCACCTCACTATTATGTAAATTACATATAACGTATTTAAGATTAAAATATAAAAACCAGGAAAACCAAAATATTTCGAAAACTATCGGAGATAGGTATAGGACATTATTATCAAAAGTGAAGGTTCTTGGAGGAGGTAAAAGGTGACAGAAAAATATACAGGGTGTTCCATTAAAAAAAAGTGAGATTTTTTAATATGAAATTTTGTAACTTTGGATCTAGAAAAAAACACCCTGTAAGCTATTTTTTTAATGTTTTAGTAGATGTATTTATTTGACTTTTACTTAACCCAGGATAAAAGATATAAAACCTGGAATCAAAATTTAAGCAATAATTTTGACAATATACTGACACTTGCAAATGTCCAATTTTTCTTAAAAATCGAATTATCTTTAAAACTACTAGCTTTTGGGATATTAACCATATAATAAAAAGATGTACGATTACACGTAGAATTCAAAAATGCATTCAAATATAGGGAGTTCTATTTAAAAAAATACACCATTTTGGCGCCCTACTTTGTGGGTGTCCCTGTATACTTCCAAATATTTTTAAAATATGGAGAATATTCAACCATATCATAATACAAAAGCACTTTATCGAAAAATCTTATCTTCAAGGCATTAAGTTACTCCGCGCAATCGATGACTCACCCTGTACATCTTATACTATTCGCGACTAAAAATCTTGCAACCCTAAAGAAATTCCACTCAAGACCTTAGCTTGGAAAGAACCCTTAAAACCGTTCCAACTACCAAAATCGAATTAAAATCACGCCTATACCCATGTGTGAACAAATTCGACTGAATGCATCCCATTAAAGGGCTCCCGTTACTTTACTTTTGTAAAGATCTATAATTAGAACGCAATCTTTTATTGTAAGACTGAGTGACTGATCTCCAACAAAACATTAACCCCCGAATTGCACCCCACTAGACGATTCAGCGAGTCTCTTACCCCCTTACCCTTTAATAGTAGGTAAGCACTTTAAAATACTCCTACACTTTGCACTTGCAACTGCACCTCTTTTAGTGCACAACTTCTGGGAGTAGGTTGTCATGCAGATTTAGTTTCTGTACGTAGTATGTGTAAGTAATGCAGGAGGTTGATGGTTATAATTATATGTCCAATTACTTACGTGACGACAATTCACAGAAGTGGGGTTATTAAAACTGTATCGAAAGACCGAGTGAATCTCAGCGAGAAATAGTCCGTCTGAGCTAGGGATGAAAGGTAACGTAAGTAATATAAAGAAAAAGAACGTAAACCCTTATAATGAAATATTGATGTTTGAAAGAAGCTTAAATTGATTTTCTCAAAATTTTTTTCCAATTTTTTAACCCTCCGTGTTGAGACCTTTCAGAACAGGGCGACTTAAACTGACGTCTGTTTCAAATAAAATTCTCCTAAAAGTTTTTTTAGCAGTTGTCAAATGGCGTTAACCGCTGACATGTCAAACTCGAATGTCTTCTACGTCACGTATCACGTCTATATCTCGCGCCAAATTGTTTTTTACTTTTCTCGTGCTACTTTTCATTTGAGAAGATGCTCTAAGACAACATAATGCAATTCGATTAATTCGCGCACATCCATTTTCTCGAGAATAATAGCGCCGGTTTACCATTTGAACATTCCATTTAGATTGCACTTCAAAAGTTGCTTCCCACATAGAGCTCGATAATTTAAAGCGAAACTTGCCGTTCGTTTGTGTCTTTGCTTCATTACATCGCCGGTTATGTTACGGTTCCATTACATCTCTGTTATCGCTTAGTACGTTTGAGAAAGCAATTAATATCAATT